GTCGTTTATTTAAGTTGCTCAACTTTATCTGTTAGTCATGCGATCTTGTAAGCCTGAAGAAATTTTCTATTCCCGAATCATTTCTGTGGTAGATACCAATGTTCTTGTCTATTGAATTATAACACTTTTTAATTGGAAAATCTTATTATATATTCGAAAACCAACTGCACCAATTAAGCCAGTTTTTTGGCACCCAAAGTAGGAATGATTTAGTGATATTAAGAGAGTAAAACAATAAAAACTTTCCAAAATAGGAGCGAACGAGTCATATTTGGAAAAGAAAATGATGCCACTCGTATCTGAAGAAATATGTTATGGTTCACTCCTATTCTGAATTGGTGTCATGACTTGTTTTTATGAATATGATTTTTTAGTGCATTTAGCTCAATATGATGTTGAATATATCATACTCCATATTTGGCAATTGTAAAATAGTATTCATAATAATTTCTAGACAGTGCACTTGACGCGAGTCAGGTGAATGCTTTTTTGCGCCTTGCTCCTCATGCGGTATGAGTACTCCAGCACCTTGAGTGTGCCTCGCGATTTAACTACTTTTGTCCTCCCAAAAAATTCAAATTTGTGCTTAAGTGATCCACTTAATGTCCAATTTGACCCATCTAAGAAATTAAAACAACTGAGTGGTTTATGTTGGAATTTCTCAAGAATGTGGAAATCAGAAACTGCAGGGCCTTACATACTTATTATCATTGTATTCATATATAATTATATATATAAATATATATAAGCACTTTGTTAATGAATAATCGAGGTCAATAGGATTTCAGTACCACTAAGTTATATAATGACGGGAATTCCCTTTTTTGTGCATGTATTAGTATCACTATTAAGGAATACTTTTGCATAACACACTCCATATTTCATCATCTCTGCAGGCAAACCGGTTGCCAATACAAGTCAAGTAGGTGTCTTGAACCTATCACGTGTTGGCTATAGAAAGGTTGTAGATAAGCGTAGACCTGTAAGGATCTATGCATTATTTGGTGGAAAGAAGGATAATAACGAAAAGGGTAATGATGCTCCTTCAAAGGTAATGTAGTCAGAACATATTTATAAATTCTAATATAAATTATTTCATGTTTTTTCCTTCACGTTCCCTTTAGTCATATAGATATTATATCATCTCACCTTTTCGGTTTATTTCTCCTGCTATATTTTCTTAAAAATTAATCCATACTGTTTTGAAACTATCTTCTTGTATTCACTTGGGTTGTATATGATGAAGTGTGGCTGAAAAAAATGCGGTGTTTGATATTTGGGTTGAAGTGTTTGAAAACATAACAAGCACATACTGCTTTCCTAAAAGGAAAACAAGATTATTTTGGGACAATCAAAAAAGAAATACAGAGATAATCCAGGACAAAGGGTTTTTGTTTTTGTTTTTCATGGATGAACTGATTATAGGGTACAATAGTGCTCGCTGAAATGGAATTAATCAATTAACAAATGGTACTTGCATAAGAACAAGAGTCTTACAAAAAAGGTCACAATATCCTTACTGTGTTAGCATTGGTTAAATTGATAGGCTGGTATTATGGGGAACATGCAAAATTTATATGAGACTGTGAAGAAAGCACAAATGGTTGTCCAAGTTGAAGCAGTGAAAGTACAGAAAGAACTTGCTGCGTAAGTTTGTCATTGTGCTATGAGCTGTGCCTGCTCATATTACCCTTATTGTATATACAAGTAAATGAGTCATATTGGGTCTAATTTGTTGTTACATATCGGGGTTCCTTCCACAGAGCAGAGTTTGATGGTTACTGTGAAGGTGAGCTAATCAAGGTACGTTAGTGTTCTTTCCTTCTTTCTTTATTTCTACCAGAACTCTATACAATGGTTGAGCCTTTAAGTCATAAGCTGATATAATATTTTGAGCTGACTACAATCCTTGTAAGTATGAGAGTGATCAACCACAGCTTAGTTGAAGTTTTATCAATTTATGTCAATTGTAAATTGACATAAATGATGCTACAAATGTGACTCGGGTTGTAAAGGTCCTTGAGCATTTGCCGATAGTTACTTCCCTAGAAACACAGTAAACTACTTAAAATCTATTAAGCTATTTTCAGTAACTTTTGTGGATTCTGGATCTCTTTTGCTAATTATGGATCTGAGAAAAGATATATTGGGATTGTGATTTTACAAGACCACATCACAAATTGTCGAGCTGTAATGTCTGGCTTCGTAATGGCAGATTGCAGATGAAGGGCTTGTCGCAGTTGTTGGTGAATGTTAAAAGCATAAATTGTGTGCATGGTATAACAGTGGATTTTCTAATTGACTATTAACTCCTTAGACTTTTTGGAATAAATTTATGATTAATTTTTAATTTTTTAGTCTACCCAACCAATTCTTTTAAATTGAGAGAGGCATGCTTTTAGAATACTAGAAAGTAGTGAATCAAATTGCAGATAACATAAACTATTACTTAGTGCATACACTCTCTCCTTTTTTTAAGGGAAACTAAACACCCCACATTCTGCACTGCCACTTGCATACAAAAAGTACATTGCTAATGTAATACTTCCTCTGTCCCTAAATAAACACCCACTTTCACCAGACTCAGAGTTTGAGAAAATGAAACTATATGTTTGAGATTTAATTAGAGGTGAGCCAATTAGACAAATAAAGTGAACCACATAATGCCTTTCTTTAAAGGAAATAGAGTTAATTTTGGGGCGTATGCAAAAGGAAAGTGCAAAGATTACTTAGGGACAGTGGGAGTAATATTTAAACAATAACAGTAATATTTATTAGAATACTAGTACGTAATAAATAGCCCCAACAATCAGAAAATTTTAAGCTCTTTTGGAAGACCTTATCAATTGGAAGACAGGTCGTCACTTTGGACTCTTTTCCTTCCCTTCCAAAGTATTAAGAAGTAAGAACTCACACACACGTATCTTCTTGTATCTTGTCGACCACAATGCCTTAGATGGCTTAGTGGTCCTTTATTTCTGGCTAGACTAGGCAGGTTGTGGGTAGTTAGTACTTATTAGAGTAGTACTAGGATGTTGGTAGAGTAATTAAGCTTGTGGGTAATTGGATAGTAAGCGAACCTCATTTGTAGGGGCACTCTTACAATCAACTCCAACAGCCATGTGAGCTAGCCACTCCAACTTGTAGCTTGACTTTGTCACTTTCAAGCTAAAAGGTTCTTCAATAATTAGCCACAACCCCTCTTTTTTGTATGGGCCCACATTTCAATAAACTTTTCTAACCAAGCTAATTAGCTTTCTTGGGCAAGATAGCTTACTCAAGCTAATTGTTAGATTGTGAGTCAAGGTCAAGCTACTTGTTATATAAATATCAGAATTTCAAGCTAGTCCCTAATCAAACAATTGAAGCTGCTTCAAGGGATTTAGGAGCCCACAATTTAAAATTCCACCCTTATATCCTGGTCGCATTTTATGATTTTTACATTAGACAAAAAGTCCTCCACCTGCAATGCGTTCATGAGGATTTTGATCAGTGAGTTCATGCCTTCTGGTCTAATTTATTTCAGATCTTGAGCAGCAAAATGATTATAACTACTTGGAATTTTCTTACATTTATGCGTCTTGAACCCAAACTTCCATTTACTGTAGCATCGTTTCCATTCAAAAGATATGAAGTATTGTCATCATTTCATTAAGAGATCAGGGGCTTTGGGAGCCATGATTCCCCAATTTAGTCGCATGAACAGTGATGTGAGGGCCTGTTTTCGCAATTCAATAGTGACTTGACTACTTGAGCTTTCAAGGTAGCCTAACCATCGGGGATCACCTTTCTTTGGGCGAGCATGTTCTGAGAAACCATATGCCTTTCTTCTTCATGATCAGTGTTTCTGTTGACTTAGTTGTCCTTTAAACCATGTAGTTCGGAGCACTCACAATAGAACAACTCTTATAGTCTTGTGTGAATTGAAACCTGCAATTGTTTGCAGGTAACACTATCGGGTAATCAACAACCTATACGCACTGAGATTACAGAAGCAGCTATGGACTTGGGGGCTGAAGTGAGTTTGCTCTGCTTATAATATTTTGAAAAGTATTATTGCCTCTGTCCCATATAATGCATCCTATTTCGGCTTGGATTTCTGATTGAAGTTAATTAAGTCTTCCCTGCAAGTATCTAAGTTAGTTTTAATAATTGAAAATTACATATTTAGAAGTGCCACACTAAAAGTTCTATTGAACCTAAAAAAACTAAACTCGAGCATGTTAAAACTTTTAAAAAATTATATGCAGAATCAATGAATAAAAAGGAATTAGGTTTCCGAGAAAACATAAGGTTCACCACATGAGTAGTAAAAGGGTCTAATAATATGGGACAGAAGCTTCGGGAAAAATTGCATTACTATGTTACTGTTTTAATAGAAATACTTTTTCTTTTGTTGTGAAGAAACTTTCTCTTCTGATTACGGAAGCATACAAGGATGCACATCTTAAGAGTGTCCAAGTAAGAATCACATTATGCTCTGGTTTCCTTTGTAACTCTTCCTTCTTCCTCCACACTTTCCCTTTCTCCTTTTATTTTATACTCCGTACATAACAAGTCATAACCATCACCCCCTTTTACTTCTTTCCCCCCCTTTTTTCATGAATCTTTCTGCATTTGGTAGGTTCATATTCATAATTTGCTTCAAAATGGTTCCCTTGGTTTTTCAGGCTATGAAAGAGAGGATGAGTGATCTTGCCCAAAGCTTAGGGATGCCACAGGGACTCGATGGAGGGTTCAAGCAATGATATCTCTTTTGAGTTTTTTACAATGTTTAAGGCAAAATGTACCCCTATTTGTCCAGCGGATATGATTTTTGCGAATTCTCTAATTTATTTTATAAATGATAATATTTATTACTATTCTGGAAAAGAACATGGCTTCCACATTTCTATCTTCTATGCATCGATATTACAAAAAATGGAAAAGCACATGGTTCTCACAAGATTCATTTCTTTTATTGAACCATGATAGTGTTGATACAATTTGCAATGAATGAATGTTGATCTGTTTTGCTAGTCCCATAATTTTCATGGGCACAATGAATTGCATCAGAACCCTATCAGGTTGCTTTCAAGATTTGGGTAATGGTTTGCCAGCCAAGAATGACTGGAACAGTATAAAGCCTCTCCTTGGTTGAAATAAGGGTACTTCATGGCCAGCTCCTCTGACTGTGGCAAAGGTGAGTCCTTTATACACCTCTGCCCACCCTCCCACCTACAAGTTTCATTTTATATTCATGTTAGTGCCGATTTTATTTCGCCTTTATTTCAAAGATCAGAAATTTTTTACTCTCATGAAAAGTACTTTTTTTTACAAGTCTCAACATGGATAAGCACAAACCTGTCCGCTAGAGTACCAAGGGTACCATGGTGTTTGAATCTTGAGATTAAGGTGGCTGAGAGAGAACCTTGTGGCTGTCACTGGAACAACTGAATCTGTATCTCCACTGCATTGAATTTGAAAAATAATTACTGCCGCTTTTTTTGACATTTTTTTCTACAGAAAAATTAGCTCTATATTTTTTACTCTATTCCTCTCTGTCAGGACTTAGGAGCTGCGAAAAGCTGCTTTTGAGCTGAGTTGTTGGGAAAAATGTTTTCAGTGTTTATTCCAAGTGGTTTAGGACAATAATGTTAAAGTATCATTTGAAAATATGTATAGATGTCTTTAAAATGCTTTAAAATGATAAAATAGCAGTTCGTAAGGAGTTTTTAAATGATATAAAGCCTGTTTGGGTGACATATGTTGAAGTTGCTTTCCTAGAAGCGCTGCTTTCTCACTCAGGCTCTCTAAAGGTGTTTTTATTTTTTATTTTCTTAACTAACCATAAAAACGATTGTAGAATTGAAAGCATTTTTTTATGAATTTCTTTGCAAAAAGCTCTTTAAAGTAAAGATATCTTTCTTCATATGAAAAACACTCATTCTTTGAAAACAATTCATCCCAATGACAATCCTGATCTGGAGCTTATGAATTTTAGTTCATTTAAAAAGAGCGCTTTTGAATAAAGGCACTTTTGGAGACGGGCCAAACTTATACCACTTGGCTTTTGGATCACCTAAAAGTACTTTTAGACCTCTAAAATCTAGGACAAGCGGAACCATTGTTAATCTTTGATACAGAGACACCATTATGTAATTATTATTATTAGTATTGCAATATTGCATACCTGAAAACCCAGATTCTAAGACCACCAGCTATTAGCTTCTTGTATATTGGTAGCATTGAGAATTCAGCATCCTTCCAGTTCTTTAACAGTATGTCACTGTTATAAGATATAGTTAAGTTGCAAGACAACACTTTAAACATATTTTCTTACATAATTGGCAGATTACAATAGCAGCAAAACAACAGAAAAATGTTAATGTTCAGGTTACCTGCAAGCGGTCCATTTATAAGGAATTCCTGTAGTGTTTGCATGCATGGCTTTCTGCACATCTGCTCTGTTATAATATTTTTCTGCATGACTTTCAATGCATGGATCATATCCAGAGACTCTTCTGTGTATTAGTGTGTTCTTCAGCCTTATAAGGGTATTACTATTCTCTGCTGCCTTACAAGATGGTGTATATATGCTATACTGATCAATGCTCCCAAACTCATGGTTCATGGCATAACTCACTGCATCGTCACACTTGCTTGATGACTCGGTTGATGTAAAGTTGCATGATTTTAGGATGTTCTTATATGTCTTGTCTGAAATCAGCGCATGTGTCCACCAAAATGTTACTGTTCCAATGTTGTCGTAATAGTTGTCTGTAACGGCATTTCCGACCTGTTCTCATGAATATTTTCCGTTTAGAGGGTTTCCAGTTTACAATAGAAATTTTTCACTTTTGGTCCCATACGGTGAATAGGTCATTTTTCATTTCTGGTCCCGGTTTTTCATATTGTTTTACACTTTTTGGCAGACTAGGATTTCTTGCTGCTTCTAGCCATTCCAGTTGCATTATATGAGGACAAATGACTGGGAGTTGTTATGAAAGTTTGTAAATGAGCTGTCTTAATGACCAAAAGTGAGAAGAAATCCGCAGTCGTGCATCAAAATTGAAAAAAAGAAAGTCAGGGACCAAATGTGGGAATGGCCCAATAAACCGATATAAGAGGGACCAAAATTGAAAAAAAAAATCTGTACTTTATATTCATCAGCGTTGCAAACACTCACAATAAACCCCTTAAGGTTGATGACCGGCTTGGATAATCCTTTGTTGTAATCAAAGATTTTGTTTGCTAACTGGGGGACATAATGCCCTAATTAAATTTAATGGTCTGAATGTTAGACATTGATGTATTCAACTGGGAAAATCTGTGAAGTGAAAGATGAAATGTTCTTATCTACCTGCATAACTCTCTCCAGCAATGTAGAAATCTCTGTATCTGTATTGTGGAAATCTTGACATCCATTTTATGAGGAAATTTAGGGCGTCATTAGCTGCCATGAACACCAGCTTAAGTTAATTGGTTTCAACATGAATACTTTCAGGCCTCATTCTGTAAGTTGTTTTGGCTGAATTTACAGGTTTCGCCCTATTTTCTGAGAGAGAAAATGTTTGATTACATTATTTCAACTAAATAAGTAATAAGCAGAACAAGCCAATCATGGATACCAAACGGAGCCTTATTTTGCGTATGTACTGCACACCCTAGTAGTATTGTACCTGTTCTATTGTCCCCAGAGTTTTTCAGATCAGAGGTTGTATTTGTGTAAGAGAATCCTACACCGGCAGGTGATTCCAGGAACAGAATATTTGCCACTGTAAGTAGTAACATTAAACATGTTATTAATTTATTATGATTTTTTAGAACTAGAATATGACTCCCACAAGAATTGCTGTTTACCTTTGTTCCATGAATAATAATTCAGATAGAGAGAAGAAGCGTTTTTGTTGACCCGAAATGGACCTATTTCTTCCGATGCTCCGTAAGCCACGGATGAGCAACCAGGCCCTGCATTTTTTCATTTTAACTGTTAATGACAATGACGATTGTTTGTTGGGGGTTAAAGCATCAAATTGGTTTACGCAATGGTTATATATCTATGATGGTCTAATCATTTTTTCTGTCAATGTTGTAGGGTGTGTGTGAATTTGAGTGACAAAGTGATGGGCTCCTTGTAGATGTGGGTGAACCACTTCAGGTCATTTCATTTTCCAGGTCATTTGTGGGGTGCAGTGGGGCCCGTGTTGTCTAGGTGAGCTTTGAAGTTGATAACTTTCAAGGAAAATTCCCAAAGTAAGAGTAAAAGAGCTGGTTTCCCGTAATAGTAATAGAGTATTATGGCATTACTAGACATTAATATGGCACCATTACAATCACAATATATGACCAGTTATTCGGGGATGACAATGTTAGGAAAAAAATCATACTACCTTCTTCCCTTTTAATTAGCCAATATGGATTTTTCAAGTCAATGATGGCAAATTTTGATAAATCATTTTAGATAGTATATATGAGTGAAACTTATAAATTTTATACTTTTATGACAATATTTCTAACAAAGAACATTTTTATACATACTTTCGTGTATAAATATATTTCAATTCTTGAACCACAAAAGTTAATCTTTTAGTTTTAACAACGTTGGAAACAGTATTGGAGATTTTTTTTGATGGATTGCAATCTTTAAGGCTTCTAGTCCTACCAATCTAAAAGGTATACCCCTGAGTGCATAGCTGACAGTTAGTTGTGCAGTTGGACCAGATCCACCTCTGATTGATGATCAGACACAGTTTGGTTGGTTATGTACTTAAGTTGCTCACTTTCTCTTTGTCACACTATTGTCGGTGACAAAAGATAAGAAAGCAATGGATGGATAGAATGGGAGATACATGTGGAAAGAATTAATGTCTCCAAGCTTGTGATGATATATGATGCATTCTGCAACAAGTGGATCCCCCACCTACCCATCTCTTCTCTTCTTACAATCATTAAATTTCTTGATTATTTTACCCCATGAGCAGACTAGTGCTGTAATTGATGTTACATTATGATAGCTACATATATATAAAATAATCTTGAGTCTTAACCAGTCCACTTTTTAGTTAAAATGGAACACCAATTAGAGAGAATAGAAAGAAATTAGGTTGACTACATGAACAATATATTGTCAAAGTTGGGTGAGAGTTGAATGAGACGGAAGAAGTACATATATATGACGAACACGCGCTACTGCAGAAGATATTCTCTCCGTCTCACAATTAAGTTCGGAGTTTCACTTTTTGAGTCAAGCTTTGTTAACTTTGACCGTTTATTATCTCATAATACAAAAATAATTTTGAATGCTTCATTTTAATATTTATTATCGAAATGTTAGTTTATTACTACCTCCGTCCCAGGGAGAAGTTCTCAATTTCCTTTTTTGGCAGTCCCAACAAAAAATTCCCATTTCCTTAAATGGAAAGTTATCCTACATAAAAACAGTGTCAAACAGTGCAAAACAGTGTCAAACAGTGTCGAAACAGTGCCAAACAGTGTCGAAACAGTGCCAAACAGTAAAATTTACCCCTCAGTAACTTTATTTTCTTAATATGTGTGAAAGTCAACCCGGAAACTTCTCCCTGGGACGGAGGGAGTATAAGTTTTGTAAGTGTATATGTTTATACATCCACGTCGATGTTGGAGACGGTGAAAGTCTGTGAACTTAAATAAGGGATAGGGGTAATATATTTTAGCGCTCCATTTTCAAAATTCATCATTTGATATTTAATTTGATAAAGTAACACGAAATCTTATGCCTTTTCAATTACTCATCTAATTGAGACCCCTTCCACTATTAGGCCAACCAAGTATATAAAATTATGCATGAAAAATGTTTACTTTTTAAAGTGGTTTGGTATGGAAAGTCTGAGTCATGCCATGCTCAATTCCTGATCATCATCATCATCCCATTCTCTTCTTCTCTAAGTCTATCAATACGCATGCTTGAAAAGATAATGGCAACAGTACATACATGCCTACATCATGCACAATAATTAATCTCCGAGAACAGTTTTTTTTCTTATCTTCATTTACCAATGTTGATACATGCGCATAGTCAAAGGCACCTTCTAATTTACCTAGGTCATCATTTTTTATGACAATAACATATTAACACCTCTTTAAAATTGAATGTTCTAACAAGCGTAAAGCGTACAATAAGACAACTCTTAGGCGATCTTAGATAGGCGAGCCTTAGAAGATTCTGAACCTAGATGTGCTCGTATTAGAAACAAAATCATAGAGGGATGAGTAGGCGTAACGTCTAGGTGGGGCCGTAAATGGAGATTTTTAGAATGGTGCTTAAACTACTTGCACCTTTCTTGTTACACTAAGAAAAGAGAACCTTTTTGTGCACTATTCAGTGCATCAAAAGATGCTAGGAAAGTATCTTAAGTCACACTTAACTTGATGTTTAGAAATGCCTAATCGGAGGACAAATCAGTTTAAAAGTGATTCGGTTTAGAGATGCATAGATCTCGTGGGAAGTCGAAGTTGGCCCGCGGGTTGCTTGTCTCTAAGCTGAGTTAGGATCCCTTGAAATCGGAAGCCGAGTTTGTTAGAAAAAAGAGTTCATCGAAATAAATTTGTACTACGTAAGTACGTATGATACTCCGTATAATGTTTTAGAACACCATTATAAACTTTTTAACCTTGGATACCCAACATTTCTTATCTGCGACTCTTGGTTGGGATTTAAACCATTTTCTCGTTTTTGTTCTTGTTTGTTTGCATGTGATACGGTTGGAGGGGGGAATATGAGAAGTACTATACGATACAGAGAGTACGTGAGAAAAGATGTTAATACTTTTTTGGCATTGCAGATTTGGAGTTATTTCGGTGCAGAACCAAACAGGGAGTAAACTCAGAAGAATGGTCGGAGGGAAAATGCCTTAAAAAGGATAGGGACAAACTGGGATCACGAGCACATCTCCATGGCTTCTTCTTGGCTTTCAGTTAATGTAAACAGTAAAAAAAAGTTTTAGCTTTTCACAGCATGAATTCTTCCCATGGCCTCTTTTAGGGCGACATTTCATATTTTTGCTTGCCTAGTAAGGAGTAATTTATTAATTTTAGTAACATTTACCGAAAAAATAAATTTGCTTTCAATTTCATGTGTCTTTTTTTTTTTCAAATAATGGGGAGGTTTTTTTAGTCAATGACCCACATAACCAATTAATTGATGTTTTTAAAGGGTGCATAAATATTAAGATTTGTACATTGTTAAATACTCTTCTATTCCTATAAAAACTTTACATTAAATGCATGCATGAAGTTTTTTATAAAACAATTATTTAATGTGGTAAGAGTGTTTGCATGACTTTGTACAAAATATACAGCAAATCCAAGAGGTTTTTTCTTAAATATCACGATACATCATCATAGTGAGAAAAGTTATTACGGAGTATTATAATCGGTATAAAGAGTCATATTTTTTTAATTAACAACATTTATTTTAGTCATATATTTCTATCATTTGCAATGTAGCCAAAGACTAACTCTTTTTTGGCTTGAGAATATGATGGAATAAAACAAAATGACTCACTAAGCTGTCTGCGCTTCTTTGATACACACACAATTTTTCTATGCAATTTTTACTATGGAAACACTTTATTTGTACTTTAATATAGAGGTAGGGCTACATACATCCGACCCCACTTACCTCGTCATAGGTCCGGCTTTGCGGCACTGAGGTGATGATGATGATAATTTATTTTAGTCATATAATTATTCAAATTATAATATTTCAGATGAAAAGACTTGGTCATTGGCTAAATTAAAACAAAATTAATAACACCTACTCACCTAGTATAGAAACGGTGCATTTTGTCATATTGCGATCGCAACCGGGCCTATTATAGTGACCTTTCCCAATGAATGTAATGACATAAGTGACATTTATTAATAATTGTCTTTCTCATAATTCTGAAACCAGTATATCATCATTATATATTTTTGCACAAGCACAGATACATATAACAATTAAAAAGAAATGTAGCCATTCCGTCAAATAAAAAAAACATAATCAGAATGATAAACTTTTAATACACTATTGTGTCCGATCCTAGGAGTGCATTCTTTTTCAAATAAACGTGATAGCAAAAGTCAAATTTTATTAAAACTTAATTAGTGAGATCACATTTTATTCTTTCTTTCATTTTTTAGAATATTTTGATCCAGAATCTAATGATCTTTATTATGCTGGATTTTATGGCATCATATGGTATGCATGTCATTAATTATTATGAATGTCAATATGGTTTAGTCATTATATTTAGCTTTCAGTTAAAGTAAAAGGTTGAATAAAAACTTTAGTCCAAATCATGATAATATTTAAACACCAAATTAAACTGATTTTTGTATTATCATTAAAGCCGCTCGATAAAAATATCACCACAAGAAAGCTTTTGTTTATTATTGGTGGGCCACAGATCTTCATGTGGAGTAGTATTTTTTAATTCTCAAAAGGTTGTATAGTAAAGCCGTATTTTATTGACAAAAGAAGCAAAAAATGGCACTTTTATGTGGTTGCGGAAATAAATGAAACAAATGACACATTTTATTACGAGTATTAGTTTTACGGTTGGTTTGAAACTACTTTTAAAAAAGCACTTCTCAGCTTTTGGCTTTAAAAAAGCACTTATTTTTCCAAACACTACAACTTTTATTTTTTTTGGCTTCCGCATCAAAAGTGCTTTTACTTTTCTATTACACAAAAAACACTTATTTTACCAAACACTACCCACTTTTACTTTTCAAAATCACTTTTTTCTCAAACACTATACACTTTTATTTAATCACTTCTCCTCATTTCATTAAAAAAAGCACTTTTTTAAAAGCAGAAGCTGTTGCAAACAGACCCTTAATTATCAATGACAAAGTGCCATTTTCATTCATTCTAGCGTTAAGTTATGAAAAAAGTGCCTCACTAGAGTCACTACAATATTTTCCAATCATACCATTGCTTGGCATGTACCAAATAACAAATTATATTAGCTAGTTGTTCATAACAAATTCACTCAACGAATTTGACTAACACAATAAGTAGACGGATTGCAAAAAGTATTTGATAATTTAGTTGTTTGGCCGTAACAATGATTAGGAATTGACCTATTTCAAAACGTTAATCCAAGACACTGTTATTTGCAACAATTTCATTCCAACGATAGATTTCGCACAAAATGTTAGGATCGAACCGCTATTGACCAAAGGGTCAATTTGGTATTTTTTTTTTACTGAAACACTATTTTCCAAACACTCCCTAACTCATACCGACTTTTCTTTAACTTCCACTTGTGAGTGGTTTTGGGGTATTGAATATAACTTCATATGGGAGAATTCTTAAGAACATAATTTTATTTGCTCATGTTACACAATAGTGAAGCTAATAGAAACGAGCAAGTATTGTTATATCGCGTGATTCAAAATTGTAATAAGTTATATTCTCATAGAAAAATTGACAAAAATAATCCCACCTTTCGCCGGTCTTCTCATAATAATCTCACATTTAGGTAATCCCAGAATAATCCCACTTTTGCATCACATCTTCTTTCATTGGACCCTGATCATGTTTTTTACTCTTTTTTTTTAAATCATATAAATAATCTCACCTTTCACTTTTCTATTATATCTTTATAAATGTGAGATTATTTATATAAGATTTTCAAAGAAAGGTAAAAAACTTGGTCAGGGTCCAATGAAAGAAGATGTGGTGCAAATGTGGGATTATTTTCGGATTATGTAAAGGTAGGATTATTATAAGAAGACCAGTGAAAGGTGTGATTATTCTTGTCAATTTTTCCTAAGCTATATTCAATAAGATATATAGTTAATAAAATTATTTTATTATTTTTCATAAATATTACTGAAATAAAGCATTAGTTAGAACCAAAATGTCACTACAGCTACAATGATTATATAGTACTCCGTATCATGGTCAGTGTATTTGAACATAATAAAAAGCATACATATTCACATTTTATTCAAATAAATTCATTTTAGTCATATACGTAGTATTTATCATTATTTCTTAATAAAATGTATACCTCATTTGAAAATTCACCACACACAAAAAAATACTGACCATAGTAGATTTATGATTTTGACACGTGTAAAAGAAGTGTTACAAAAATTAAATTTGTATGATCTTATTTATTTGAAATAATTAGAAAAATCTTAAACCATAATTTGTTTTCTTGAAAGAATACTTGATAAAATCTTTTAGAAACATAGGAAATTATATCCAATTTCTCAATGTGAGATCAGATACCATGATACAAAAAAGAACACATTAAGATAGAAAACATGAAATTGATGAAGTGGTTGGGCCAATTAAAAAGACAAAAATGAACTAATTAATTAAGGGAGGAATTGAATTAGACAAAGCTAACCTCCATTGAGCCAGAGAACAAGAGGCTTCTTCTCAGGGTTGCGGGTAGCTTCGGTGAGCCAGTAGAAGAGCGCCCGGCCGTGGTTCTCATTGACGGTGACGTAGCCGGAGAATTGCGAAAAGGTGACCGGCGGCTGGCCGGGAAGGGCGGCGATGCGGTCCAGCTCTTGTTGTTTAGTGAGGCTGATAGGAACAGCACCGGCGGAGAAGAAACAGAGAAGAAAACAAAAGCAGGGGAAGTAGATGAGAATTATTGAATTGGAACGTGGTGGTGATTTGCTGGCCATGACAATGTCTCTCATTTTCACTCTTCAATGCTCTCCCTCCCTCGCTCTAGCTCTTTTAAAACATCATCCCCTAGGGGCTGGGTGGGGGTGGGGTGAGGTCAATGGGCAGTTAGGCACATTTTTTTAGAAAGGATCAAATGAACCCTTAAACTATTAACGATTTTGGGGTGTTTGAAAGTGTTTTGGTGAAAGTGTAAAAGTATTTCTTGGTGCTCCAAATACCGGTAGAAGCAGTTTTTAGAAGATATGGGAGATCAGCTTCTGAAAAATTGATTCTGATTATGTTTCGACTTTTATAAAAGAAGCAGAAAAAGAATTAGTTCCAAACACCTTTTCTAATCAATTTCTTAAATAGAAAGATCTTAAACTACATCATTTAATTGATTGAAAGAAAGTAATTTAGTCTTTTTTACTTGTTTGAAAAATATCATCTTTCGAGAAAATAACCACCTTACGGACATTGACAGGTAAAAGTAATTATGATGTAATGAAGTGCTATATTAAGATCATGATCCCATTCTCATATCAAGTTGTCTTTTAAAATGAAATCTCATGTCTTAATATGGTATCAGAGTTAAACTTATTCATAATCTTTATGTGCATCCTATGAAAAATGATGACACAATAAAGAAGAAAGACGGCATGATCCAGACGAAGTTTCTGATCATGAGGAGGAGTGTTGAAGTCTAACATTTGAAAATTATGAGATAATAAAGTGTTATATTAAGATCCCGAACTACTTCTTCTATTAGCTAGGTTAGCTTTTATAAGGGAATCCTATGCCTTAATAATTTCAATAAATACATTGTACTTCATAATGCATAAAAATTGGGGGCGGCGACATCCAAAAATATAGAGCGCGGCGATCGATGATGGATGAACCATAGAGGTGTGGTGGTCCTGGCGGAGATCTGATCTACCTAGAAGAGTGCGGCGGACGCCTGTCTCTTCTTTTTATATCTCAGCAACGAACGTGCAATGGATGGTATTTGGGGTAGTTTTGACGATCTCCTTCAGGTTTTCTCATTGCTTGAGATTTCTTTTCCGACTAATTTTTTGCTCATTTTTGTTTCGTCCGGCTGAGTTTTCCCAGACCGAGAATTTGGTCCATACCAATTGTGAACGTGTTTGTGCTTTTGTTTGTGAATTCCACTACTTCTTTTTCTCTTCCCGGACTTGACGTTCATTTTGTTGCCCATTAATGGAGAGCTTAAATAAGACTTATGAAAGGATGTCAATGAAGGAGGTTGATGGCAATTAAAGGATCAAAAAACAGCAAGGCGGCGGTGCTCCCAGAAGAGCACCGCCCAAAATACTGACAGGTGCCGTAAACGAGAAGGTTCTTTTGGAGGTGGCTGGTCAAACTTTTTCTCCCTTCTCAGTGGCCGGTAAAATCAGGATGCTTCCTTTGGAGGTGGATGGACAAACATCTTCTCTCTTCCTGGTGGCTGGTAAAACTGAGACGCTTGAATTATTTTATTGTTTTTGTATAAAGAAGTATTATTTAGTTATCTCCCATTTTACTAGCATGTCGAGGACTTACCATGATGCAGAGTTAGCGAATTTGACAGATCCTCTAAAACTAGTCAATTTTACGTCTCACCCCAGTATAGTATTGAACTATTATATTGTTTTGTCTCTTATTACTTTCATTATTAATAATAATTAAGTTTTCTCCTTCAAAAAAGAATTTCAATAAATTGACTGATTTATTTGTAATTTCTTCTGATTCACCGTTTGTAAAATCACTAAAACCTGAAGTTTTATTTATCCTTTTCGCCGTTTTTATTTCTTTTTCGTTTTCTTGAATCGGAGAAAAAACCAAAGTAGTATGGTCATGCCTCACTCACCATTGCCTGGCCTACATGCAGACCCACGCACGGGTCTCATTTTTTAGAAGAAATTAATTTGTGATATTGTGTCTTCTTTATTCTGAACGGATTTCAGATTCTCTCCATTTATTTTCCTTTTGATTTCATTCTATTATTTACTACTGTTTTAGCCTTTTTGGTCGGGATAACGATGATAATTATACTACCCGTTCCTAAAAATTCTTCCAAGTTTGAATGACACGCTTATTAAGAAAGTGAAAATGTGTGGTTGTGGTTGTGTAAGAAAAATGTAAAATGAATGTGAACCACACAAATTGTACAAAAAGGGAAAGTGGAAAGTATTTTTGGGAACGGTCCAAAAAGGAAAGTGGAAAGTATTTTTGAGAACAGAGGGAGTAATAAATAATTTTGGTGAAACTGAACCAAGCTCAATGAAATAAATCTAATTTCTCTCTCTCACAGATATTACGAGCATGGAAAAGTAAATTGCTCAATGTGAGCGATGAATTCCATACATTAGTCACTATTATGACTAGGCATAAAAAAGGCTCCTGGCACACTCGATCTATTGGTCCAAAATTGGATGCTCCTAAACTTTGGTGAGGCAGAAAATCGAAGTGTATTATAACTTATAAGTAGTTTAAAGAACTTAAGGGTATTTTTCCATCATTTGCAATTGAGCCAAAAATTCATTATTTTTGGCTTGAGAGAATATGATGGAATAAAGCAAAATGGCTCACCAAACTGTCTGCGCTTCTTTGTTATGAAGCAGCAGTCAGTTCATGCAATTTTGGACGCGATTTTTCATTATGGTTCATCCAGAAACAGTCTCTCTGTGCTTTAGTATAGGGGTAAGACTGCGTACATCCGACCCCCTACCCCACCGTAGGTGGGAGCCTTTGCGGCACTAGAGTAAATGATGATTGATTAATTGATGGAGGGAAGGAAAGGGGAATACTTTGAAAGTTGGTTCTAAGAAGAGAATGAGAGGGAAAGGGGGGATAACTCTTCTCCTTGTTTGAGAGTTGCAATTTTGAATATAGAGGAGTTAACGAGAATTTATAATTAAAATGACTTTAAAGATAAGACAAATTTAAATAGTTGAATTTATATCCATTTTTAATTAAATTAAACTTATCATTTAATTATTAATCTTTCAAACACCCTCAACTCGTGGAACAATTTTTTTTTGAAAGAAAGACACTCATTTATCAATACTATTAAAGGTAATAGTGGACAAAGCAGAACAATAACCTAGAACAACCTTGGAGTGAGACATATAACCAGCTAGCCCCGGAAGTCCAGCAATGCTGCTGACTTGCTACTAAGACAGAAAATAAAAAAAGGAGTTCAAAAACTGAAAAGAAATAGAAAAAACATGAATCCTAGTTTTATCTGCCACCAAGCAAGGGAGAAGAGATTTCATCCACCGCCTCCAAAGACAAAATTCTGATTTGACCATCCACCGGGAAGGGAGAAGAAGTTTTTCCAGCCACCTCCAAAGGAAGACTCCCACTTGCACCCACTAATGGTATTCTAGGTGGTGCTGATTCAGTAGCACCGCCACAACATCGTTTTTTGAACCTGTATATTCAACCTCCACATTCACTTGAACTTCCACCAGATTTTCTAGATCCACAACTCTCCGTTTCCTGGATTCCCCTTCCTCTATAGCTCTATCTAGCTTTGGCTCCTCTTCCAGTCCCACTTTCTCTTTCCCACTTGAGATCAAACCCTGGACCAAATAACAACCCACATCGGCACCTTTTTCCTGGTCCCGTAATCAGACCCTGACTTTCCCCTATTTCCGTTGTGCTCTTCACCTCATGCCCTGTACTTGGGATTAGCCATTTACTTCCAGGGTGTGTTCCTCCTCACCGCAAATCTACTCGCATCCAGGGCCATACAGTTTATCACCCACCCATGGTCCTGCACTCCTGCACTTGTGTTTGAGGGGCAGTATTTATCCGTGTGTCTCAGAGTGTCACATATAAAGCATAATTTTGGAAGCCTTTCGTTCTTAAAAAAACGCCCAAAACCAGCTATCCCCTTCCTCTCTGACTTGAGTTCTTCTCTTCAGAGCATTTCTTATATCTATCAACACACGTACTCGAAAAAACTCATTGCTTTTCCCATTCAGAGTTATGTCATCAATTCTTACCTGCTTTCCCAGGTAACGATCGATGCCAATCGCCATGATTTCAGTCATAAAGTTGAGAGGTAAATTATGGGTCTGCACCAAAAGTTCCGCATGATTAAGCTCCACCTCCAGTGGTCGGTCCCTTGCATCCATCCTGCTTATAACAACTTGATTCTTGTCAAAAGACCATGGCCCATCTTGCAAAACTCGTGAGATATCATTCTCATGGAAGAACTGGATCATAAAACGCGTCTCGCTTATCTATTCGATGCGCACCGCTGTACTTGGGTGCCAGATCATTGCCATAGTTTGATTAGTTTCCCTAAATGAGACAGGACGATCAGGTTTATCCGTGATTACTCTAGCCACAACAGAGAAGCGTGAAATTTCTCCCACCCCACTATTAACATTTAGGGCGCCATATTCGAACACCAAAACATTGTTTTCTTCCTCCTCAATCACATCTTTCCGTATACCTCCACTATTTTCTCCATGATAACAAAAATAGACCAAACAAAGACTAACAACACAATAGCAATTGATAAAACAAGCCGTTCTCAATCGGACGTTTACAAACGAAACACAGTGCAAAACTCTCGACCATAACCTAAAGCTCAGTCAGATACGGCAAATCGGAGAACCCGATCACAAAAACGAAGCTACAGTGACAAAAGACCTTACCTTCCACTCTTAGTAGTGCTCGAGCATACCCCAGACGAGTTCCACCCCTGTCGTGAGCCTTGCTTCAAGCTATGTCAAGCGATGATCTTCTCCAGGGCGTGCTTTTTGATCGGCGGCCATAGGATCGCTAGAGTTTTTTTCGTTCTTATTTGGTCATATTTATTTAAACCTAATATGGTAATATTTCAACTCGTGGAACTTAAAATTTTTATATTCCTTTCAATTTTATGAACTCCTGAACAAGATAGGAGAGATCACAAATCCTCCAAACCACTCTCCTTCCCTCCAAAACACAACTTCCAAACATACCCTAAGAGAGAGTGCGCTTACAATGCATAGGGGTAGCCTCTCAGGGTGGTTGCATGTGGCTCAAATCATACACTTTTGTGGCTTGTGTCCACCAGCTTTCAGCTTTTAACTTTTAAGTGCTTAA